GCGATAAATTGGGATTTTGAAGATCGTCATGATATCGGTCCGCGCCTTCAACTTTCTCTTGGCATCTTCCTCCTCATTACGTGGAGTATTAGCTCAGTCAATGGCCTCTGTTTTTGTCATTATGGTTAGTTCCGCAATGTTGCTCTCTTGCTTGGTTATTAGGGCGATAATCCTCCTGCCCTACCGAGTGAACCTTCCGGCCACTCGTTTTTCTGCCGAAACCGGATTTGCCTTCTCGGTTGCAGTGGCGGTGGCGGCATCATCCTCAACTCGGATGTGTTTGTTAATCCGCTGCATTAAGGATTCCATGGTTATGGACTGATGCATTGTGAGTGAGTCTCGCAGCCTATGTTCGACTGGTAAACCTCGCTTGTATTGGGTGATCGCCGAATTGGTGGGCCAATTGAGGATCTCATTGTAAGTCTTCCAATACTTGGCATTGTATGCCTTCAAAGAACCGCCTGACTCCATCTTGATACCCAGGAGGTGGTCAACCTCCTTCGGTGTACGACTATTGGTCTTGAATCTGGTGACAACGGCTCCCGCTAGTTGTTGTCACTCCTCAATACTTCCCTCTGAAAGCTTTTCGAACCATTTTAGCTCCAGTTCTCCCAAACTTGTGGGGAACATGAGACACATCAAGGCATCGTTGCACCGATGGCCTGCCATCACTTACTGGCAATGACTAACATGCATGTACGAATCCGTCTTGCTGTCGCATAACGTGAACTTAGGTTAGTGGAATCTGGTAGGGAGTGGTGTGCTCTCGATCTTTGGAGACAATAGGGTAACGGTAAGTCTTGCCAGCTCTCTGTCAATCGATGCTGGAGCCATCACTCTAGGTGCCGACATGGCCACCTCCTCACTGTAACAGATTTGGGGGCTCAGCCTTTGCAATGCCGGCACTTTTTGTGCCTCTTTGCAGCGTGCTCACTCCTCCATCACATTCCTCAGGTCCTCCGAACGGGCAGAGTAAGAGTATCTCGACGTCATCGACGGACGCAAGGGACTGTAGCTGCTGTCGTGCGTGTAGAACCTCTCCACTGGTGGATCAGAATCGCCAACTCCACAGTTTCTGGTGATGAAGAACGAGGGTGTCCCCCGTTGGTGATGACTATCAGAGCGACGGGATTGGGTGCGCTCACTGTGGTCGCCCACTCCAGCAACACCCTTCCCTTTGATTTGTTGCTTCAACGTCTCCATTTCCGCTGCCATCTTCCGAATGAAGGCGTCATGGTCTCTGAGTTTGTGCTCCAAGCGCTAAGCATACGATTCTCTTCACCGTTGGTGACCCTCAGGGCTCTTTGAATGGTTAGTGCTCCTCACGTATTTGTCTCGTGCCTCCCTGGGCTGCCCTCTAGATGAGGTCTCTAAGCCCACCATGGTTGGAATAGTGGGAGGGCCATCTCTTCTCCAGACTGACTCTGGAGTGATTCCGTCTGTAATGGACAGCGGTGTTTCGTCGACGTTCGCCATGGAAGACAGTCAACAAGGCTAGTAGACCAAGGTTTGTCTATCAACGAATTCCCACAGACGACAGCAATTATACGGGAAGGAAATTTTGTCGCTCTCCATACTCTTTGTGTCCAAGCCTCCTATAACGTCGCTTAACCTGAGAATAGAAAGACGATGAGCTGCCCGGTGGTGTGCTTCCAGATAAACCCTCCAAAGATCAAGTTAGCACACTTAGAGAATAAGAGATAAGGCAAAGCACTTTCTAGAGAGAGAGAGTATATCAAAAATAGCTTACCTCTAACGGTTGCATGCTCCTCCTTTTCAAGACTGGCCATGCAGCTTCAGAGACTATGGGCGTACTACATCTGTTGTCCTTCTTTGGACAAGCTATTGTGCTCCCCTCTACATTCACTACGCCAAAATTGGGCTTTAGCAGCAGTTTTTTACTACTGTTAAAGGATGTAAAACCGCTGTTAAAGCCTTTAACGACGGTAATTTAGGACCGTTGTTTATACTCATGTCGGAAAAGGTACAACCGTCGTAAAAGGGTAAATTATCGTTGTTAAAAGTCGACCAAAAATGGCAGTAATATAGGACCAAAAACAGCGATTCTTTACGGCCGTAAATAGGTTCAAATTTTTAAAAAGGTAATTCTCTCTTCTTGCACCCCCCAGGTCTCAAACCCTTGACCTCTAATCCACGCACACCAACCACCCCACCACAGCCACTCTATATGAAATATATTCCCTAAATAAATATTTAAACATTACTTTTGCTTTATTGTAGATGGTCATGTTCAACCTCTGGCCGCACGTGGTCACCACTCGCCGGAGTTCCGCCGGAGCTCTGCCGGAAAAGACCGCCGTCATTAACGGCGGTAATGAGAGGGCTTTAGCGGCGATTTCGTTACCGCCGTTAAAAGAGGGTTTTAGTGGCAGCTTTTTTAACGACGGTTTCATTACCGCTGTTAAAGATACTTTAGCGGCGATTTTTTTAACGGGGGTAACGAAACCGCCGTTAAAAATACATTAACGACGGTTTCGTTACCGCCCTTAATAATATCTTTAATGGCGGTAACGAAAACCGCCGTTAAAAAAACTGCCGTTAATGCCCTGTTTTGGCGTAGTGATTTCTTATACGTGTAGAGACCAAAACCTCCAAACAATGTTTGTCGAACCACCAAACGATATTGATGCATACCAGGAGTAGATCCCCCTCTTCTTATCATTGGTCCACGTGGAATATTGAACCAAGCTATTACTTAGTGAAACATAAACATAAACATAAACATTATGATTGATAGCCACTGCCAAGCAAAACTAAACTGGTCCATTAGAACCGACTAGATGCGAGGCGCGCCGTTCGGCATCTCGGCCTCACATAGTGATCTTAGGGGCTATCTCAATCCCCACATCAGTTCGAACCATCCATAGCTCGACCCAACGCATCCGTGCGGACCTAACCAAATATCCGATTCCACGTGATCCTAACTCAGCTAAACACCTGCGTGCCTCCATATTCCGGGTGACCCTCAGCCCGGCCTAATGTAAAGGGCCGAAGTGCTGTATTGGTGCAATTCGACTAGGCACAGTGTCTCTAGCCCTCACATGGCCCAACACCATATTTCATGCTACCGTATCTCGGTCCACTTGTTCGGCACAAATCTCCTTCTCAAAAACGTTTTTCATACTAAAATTTTACAAATGTCACGATACGACTACCACTACCACTACTCCATTACCACCACCTGTGTTACCTTACCACCCCTAATGCAACTATTAGTATATTAGTTGCAATGATACAATCAAACATAAATTTAAAAAATGAAATATAAATTTTGTATAAAGTATATATATTTTTTTGTTGAAATAACAAATTGCAAACCAAACCAAACCAAACCAAACCAAGCCTTAAGTCCCATTAAATGGGGTCGGTTACATGAATCTTTCTTCTCCACGCGGTCCTATTAAAGGTCATATCATTAGTCAAATTAAGTAGATTCATATCTCTATTTATAACGCTAGTCAACGTTAATCTAGGCCTACCCCGTCCCCTAACACTTTCATCTACCGTTACAACATCGCATCTCTTCACTACTGCCGTTGTTGGTCTCCGTTGAATATGACCAAACCATCTCAAACGATTCTCTCTTAACTTATCTTCTATCAGTGCTACTCCTACTCATTCCCGAATACGCTCATTCCTAATCCTGTCTTGTCTAGTCTTACCACACATCCACCTTAGCATCCTCATCTCAGCCACACTCATCTTATCTACATGATGTTTCTTGGTTGCCCAACACTCCGTCCCATACAACATAGTTGGTCTAATAGCCGTTCTATAAAGCTTACCTTTTAGTCTAGTGGGTATTCGTTTATCGCACAATACCCCAGACGCACTTCTCCATTTACATCATCCCGCCTTAATCCTATGGGCCACATCTGCATCAATCTCTCCCGCTGTTGTGATAATCGACCCTAAATAACGAAAATGTTTACTCTTAGGCAGTTCTTGGTTCTCAATCTTCACTTCTTCTCTGTTTTCATTGTTACTGTTACTGTTACTGTTACTAATTTTACTAAGGCCTCGTTTGGGAACCCTCATTTTTAGCCAAAAAGTCAAAAAATTACTAAATTAGTCAAAAGGCCAACAACACATACCAAAAAGTCAAAAATTCTCTTTTGTCTCTATTTTTTGCACATCTTTTCGTAAAAAGTCAAAAAGTCATCCCAAACGTACTAGTTTTTTTTAGCTCATATTTTAGCTAAATAGCCAAAAAATTACTAAATTAGTCTGTTCCCAAACGAGGCCTAAATAACAAATTGCAAAACTACTTTATATGTATATATATATATTTGTAATTTTAGTTTACAAGTCTTATTATTGAATTCTTAAAGATACCAGTTAATGTAAAATTAATTTTTTTTAACGAGTGTGTGTGTGTGTCTGTGTCAGTGTGTGGGTAAAGTAAGATTTTATTAACAACAAAACATACAAACAATCTTGCAGCATATTAAAATTAATCATTAATTATTTTATTATAATGTTAAAAATCAAGAACTCAAAAGCTAAAAAATAATGATACTTTTGGATTTTTGTGTAATTTACCTTTTTTGTCCCTTAATTCTATATTTCTTCTGGACTGGTGAATTGGGCCGACGTACTGCCTCTTACAGGCTTCAACACTTTAGGCCCAACCCCAAATCAAGCTTGATTCTAACTAGCCCAGCCCAACTAAAGTACAAGATTGGGCCAGGTAAAAGTTCAACAAGCCTGGCCCAGATTATAGGCCTTTGGCCCAATAATAACCCTTAACTATAAATATACAACATTCGTGTCTGATTCGGATCCAAAACAAGTCGGACTATCCTTATCTTCTCTCTCTCTCTCTCTCTCTCTCTCTCTCTCTCTGTGAAACCCTAGAAAGTGAACAATTCAATTCCAGTTGAATCTTTCAATTTCGATCTTCAATCGCGATCTTGAATCAAAATTTCAAATCTTGGAGCATTATAGATAAATGGGTAAACGAAAGGAGCGTCGAATCGCCGCCATGATCGCCGCTGGGCGTAGAGTAAAGCTCGACCTCTTCGCGGAACCCTCTGGTATTCAAATTCTTGCCCTCTCTCTCTTCCTCTCTCTCTCTCTCCCTCTCCCTCTCTACATATATGTATGCATGCATGTACATCAGTATGTATGAATTTTATTATGTTGTTAGGGTTTGAAGTTTGATGCTTGATGCTTGTTTGATTAGTATGATTTGGTTGCTGAGATTAGAAAAAAGGAATTTTGGCTTTTGGATATTTGGTTTCTAATTGTCTTGGTTTCAATAGATGAATTTAAGCTCTATCATGTAGAAAAAGTTTAAGGCCTCTGTTTGGATTCATTTTCATTTTTATTTGTTTGCTTTTGTTTTTTGTGTTTTGGGAAACAAAAACAAAGATAGGTGTGGAAACAACACCTGTTGTTTATATATCATTCTAAAATTTAGAAAATTGTTTAAGAGTTGTGTTTTTAGATTTTATTATATTTTTTTGGAAAAATAGTTTGCCAAATATAATTTCGGTTATTCGTTTTTGTTTTCTTGGAAAACAGAAAATGAAAACAAAACCAAACATGGAGATTCTTCTGGTACCAAATGGAGAACTTACGGTTTGTGTATTGTATTGCCTAGCTTTTTATTGGGGGTGTTTGGGAACTCGGGTTGGGAGGCTTTTTTTGGTTAAAATAGCCAATAAAGACAAAATAGATTAAAATAGCCAAGCTTACATTTTAATGATTTATCTGAATTTTGTTATGGCCAGATGGAAATAACAAAATGGGTTTTGCCATTTTTTTGTTGTTAATGATAAAGATAATGATAATTTATTAGTTTCATATTTGTCAGTTACAAATTGATCATAATTAATTCTCAGCTTATGATTGATTGTATTTTAATTTGGACATTTTTGTTGTCTTTTTAGGAGATTCTGGTGGTTCCTCCGCCCAGGATGAACTTGGAGGGGACATAGATCCGAGACATCGTGCTGGGTCACCCAATTCACCATCATCTTCAGGTGGGTTCCGTCAGTTATCTTCAAAAGGACTGATCTATGTAGAGACGACTTGATGTGCACCGCATTATTTTGGTGGAAATTATACTTTGTACAGAACATATTGTTTGCCCGAAAGAATTTTTGTTTTCAGCATGTAGGGTGGCTGTAGTCTCGGGAACGTTCAATTGGTCATCAGATAAGTCCTGAATTATTGAATGAAACTCCCGACCTGATATGCCCTTTATTTTTCGCGGCATCAAAGCGGTTTGGAGATTTCGACAGGAATTGTTTTCCTTCGCGGTTCGTATGTCTCTGGCTTTATTTGTTTTATGCTTCACTAACAACTAATCATTGTGTAACAGGTGGTTGTGATGAGTTGATCTGAAAATCTGACAGTCAAATTATGATTGACTATTCTTGTTTTATTCTTTTTGTTTTCTGACTTTCACAGCAACTGCTTTCTTGTAGTTTATACCTACAGTATATATATTTTCCTGAGATCAGATATGTTAGTCATTGCTAGGTAGGATTCTTTTGATGTGTTTTGAAGGCTTTTGACATGTTGGTATTTTGTTTTTCAGGTAAACAGTCAGAGAATCCTTTGTTGTTACTTGGGCAATACAGTGATGATGAGTTGGATGAGGAATCAAGTAAAAGACTTGACGATGTTACTGCAGAGAAGTCCACTGCTGAAGATGATGATGAACAGGTGATTTATCGATTCCACAATCTTTTTTTAATTGGCTATTGTGGAGGAAGGTGTATTTCCCATGTCATAGATTATCCTTGAGTATGCTTTTGTGGTGCACAAATCAGAAATTCAAGTTTTAAGAAAGCTATTCTTTGTAACAAACATGAGCTTGGCTATGACGGGCTCAGGTGGTTAATAGTTTAATAGTGAGTGATTAGCATAAGAGTATCTGGAGGACATCATCTTCATCAACAACCCCCCCCCCCCCTTTCGGTCCCCACTACCATCTTTATCCACCTCCACTGGCCTGAACAAAGAAACTAAAGCTGGGTTTGGTTTTGTGTCTAGTTAAATTTTTTCTTAGATGGGTCTTTTCTAAAATTCATGTTGGCGATGTCATGTTGTGCTTCCTGTAATTTGAGTTCAGAGATGATTCTATTATAGGATGCATTTCTCAAGTTTCTGCTAGTATACGTTTCTAAAATGTTACAAGCTGTGAGCTAAATTCCGGTGTTTTGGTAGTGGCAGGTCCTCAATGCTTTTTGTCATGTGTAAACTCCATATTCATTCTATGCAAACTATCTGTCTGCTTTTCATTTGGAGCAGACAATGTTATTTGTTTTGCTGGTGATGCCTTAATTTATCACCTAATAGTTTCCAAGTTCTGGAGTAAACTTAAAGGGTTTGTTTACTTTCCAGCACCTTTCCACATTAAAATTATGTGTTTCACATACTAAATTTTGTTTACATTGACTTAGGTAAAGGGATCTGTAGGCACAGAAAATGAAGATATGGAAAACAATGCGAGCATGGAGCTTGATGCTGACAAGGAAAGACGACATGACCTAGAAACAGGTTCTGTTTCACCAGATCCTTTGCAGAATAGAGAGGACAATGACGTTAGAGAAATTGATTCTGCTGTCACAGCTGATTTGTGCAAAGTTGTTTCAACGGAAGAAGCATCTATTACAGGAACTTCTGATGTTCACTTAACCGGTGATGTGATTTCAAGTTGGAAGGTTGTGCTGCATGAAGAGAGCAATCAATATTACTACTGGAATACTGTGACTGGGGAAACTTCATGGGCAGGTCCTGATCTGTTGGCTCAGGGAGCTGAATTGACGGGTGAGCAGAAAACTGCTCCTGATACTGAAGTAAGAAACGGTCCTCTTGGTGGGACACATGAACCAAATTCCACTTTAGACATGGAATTGGATGGTTCTGTAACAGTGCATCCTAATAATCACTGTAAAGCAGGCAATGTAATCCATGAAACTCGAGAAATTGATGAGCCCGAGGCCCAGATAGAGGATCAGAATGATGGATTTAAAGATAAAGGTTTGGAAGATAAAAGGCCAGGTTCTGATGCTAACCAAACTGAGATGAAAAATAGCTCCAATGCAGCCCTTGCACTGTATTCACTTGGGGACAGTGTTTCTTCCCAGGACTTGGGTGATACTCTCTTGTGCAATGGGGATGCCACAGATGCTGATCAATCCATGGTTCATGAAGAAGATGACACGGAGAATGACCTTAGTTTTTCAGTTCTGAAGCATAGTGAGCAATTATTGGAGAGATTAAAATCACTGAAAGGGTACGGACATCCTTGACCACTGTTTTCTTTATCTACTTTTTTGCATTATCTATCTTCTTGATGACTGGAGATTTCCTCCTGTAATTTAAGTTTGCCAAATTTTTATTCTGTTGTAAAATGATTTTCTCTTGTGATTATATTTGAAATATTTCAGTTCCAAGAGCCACATGCAAGGGCATGAATGGATATCAAAGTTTCTTTTGGAAGTTGAGATTAGGCTTTCTGACATCAAGTCACTTTTACCTTTTGGATCATCCTTGTTACCTTTCTGGGTGCACTGTGAGAGGCACCTTAAAGAGCTAGAAGGTGCCATTGACAATGAAGTTTCCCTACTTTTTAAATCTGCCGATTCTACCAAAATACGCGAAGCTGAAGCACCACATAATTCATGGGAAAGTGAGGGGAATGAGATTGATGCAGATGGAAATGAAAAGAAAGTAGTTTCTTCTTCTTTTGATCTCCCCTCTGCGGATGTTTATGTAACAGTGTCCCAGAAAGATTCAAAAAATGAAGTTGCCAATAATGATGTTCTTCAAGCTGAACATGTTTCTGTAATTGATTATCCCACAGCTCATTCAGGCAGTGGTGTTGGAGGGAGCAGTGGAGTTCATGGAGTTGCACAGCCAACTGAATTAACTTCCAATATTGTACTCCATGGTGGGGAAGATGTGGATATGGATGTGGACATGGAAGTTGAAGATGCGACTCCAGAAAATGCCACAATTACCATAGATTCATTGGCTGCCAAATATTGTGCTCCAGAAGAACAGACTATTCAGCCAAATCCACCTGCAGAACATGAATCTTTTGTGCTGCCAGAAGCTTTTGGTGTTCCACCCCCTCCAGATGATGATTGGATTCCCCCGCCACCTCCTGATAATGAATCGTTTCCTCCACCGCCGCCTGATGACCCACCTGAACTCTCATATCCCCCACCACCAACTTATTTTGAAACAGTACAACCAGTCTCTTATACAGAACAGTACAATCTGTCCTATCCAGCTTCTAACTTTGAGTATTATGGTCAATCGACTACAGAATTCCCAGCCAATAATGTATATGGACACACTGAAGGATTTCAGGTAGCTGTGTCCCATCCACCACTTTATTATGAAGCATTGCCTAGTACATACCCTGTTGCTGCTCCAGTTGTAGTTAACCCTGTTGAGCCTGTTGTGTATTGTGACGTTCAAGACGGAGCAGTACTCCCTGGACCAGCAGTAAGTGGTGCACAATCTTTAGTGTCACACGGAATATCCAGTCATGAAGTCCTTGGTTCTGATCAAATCAGTTCTGTGGAGTCACACGCAGAAGCGCACTCTACTTCATTATTGAACGCTGAGGTTGGTTTGTCTGTCAGTACTGACATAGCATCACTAGAGGTTCCTTTTATGCCGGCTACCATCCAAGCTCCAGTGACCGTTTCAGCAGTAGAGAGTGCTCCTGGGTTGTCAACCACTGCAGTCACGGCTGCGACTGCTGTTGCTAAATCAACAGCCACTAATGTTCAATCTAAAGGTAAAGTTTCAAAATATCCAAATTGTCACATGCAGATCGACCTACAGCATTCACATGAACTTAAGATTTTATGATTGCCTACTTGTGCTCTATGGTTCTTCTATTCTACTCATCTACAACAATGCTACGAATGCATAAGATGAAATCTGTGGGTCAGATTCATCTTAGGTGTGACGCACACGACACCATATTTAAATATGGACTGTACAAATTTTGTGTGTTCGAATCTTTACTGAATCATATATTTTGTCAAAAATTGTAATTGCCATGTAATTGTACTTAGTATAGGTGTTGCAGCTGCTTGCAGCTCATGATCACTAGCTGCTGGGATGGTGATAATTTCAGAGAATTCAATATATTCTTCGTTATGGGTTTTACAGAATTATTCATTTTGTTGGGCTATTATAGTCCTCCAAACATTTTCCCTCTTTGAACCCCTGAACTAGGGCCAACTGATTGGTGGGACATGCTGTGCTTATAAATTCATCTTGTAAATTTATGTTTTTATGCTGCTCATCAATTCGTATAATTGATCCTTAAGAGGCTGTTTGGTTATTGGAATTTTTCCCACTTAAGGACCAAGATTAGTACAAAATAAGAGCCTTGGTGCCTCTCTCTCTCTCTCTCTCTCTCTCTCACACACACACACACACACAAGTACATTGTATAAGAACACCAGTTCTTGAAGGAATTCATAACTATACAAATGGACTCATCATACTTGGTTTCCTTTTTCTCAGTTCCGCACAGCAAAAAACGGACAGTTGCTGTGGTATCCACATTAAGGTCAAATAAGAAAGTTTCCAGCTTGGTGGACAAGGTACTTCCTTTGTTCAGTACGTTACTTTATTAGCTTTAGAGGTTCTATATGTATATATGTCATGGATGTGCATTAGTATTTTGGAGTTGTTAAGTATTCAATAATTTTGTCCATTAGTGGAAGGCAGCCAAAGAGAAGTTGCAAGAAGATGAGGAAGATGAACCTGAAAATGCTTATGAGATTTTAGAGAAGAAGCGACAACGGGAAATAGAGGTCTGCAAATGAATCTCTTATCCTTTTGTTAATCTTTCTGTCAGCTGCTTCTGGTGCCTCAAGTTCCTTTTAATTGCAGGAATGGCGTGCACAGCAAATTGCTAGTGGAGAGGCCAGAGCTAATGCTAACTTTCAGCCTCTGGGTGGTGATTGGTATGTAATCTTGAACCTATATGATGACAATGATGGAAACCTGAAGTTGATGATATATTTCTGTGTAGTAAAGTGAAGATGGTGCTTTGTAACTACATTACTGCTGCTTGATATTGGTTTTTCTGTAATGAACAAAAATGGCTTTCATTGATGGCTGAATGGAGGCTGCATCTGAAGTTCATTTTATTTTATTTTTGCATTTCTGTTGCCAGTCTTTTTTGCGTATCTATATCATATATTTCATTTTATGATATATTTCTTGCAAACACATGCACACACACCTTTGCATATTGTAATGATCATCTATATTTTTTCACTTCTATGCAAAATTGATGTGCTGGAGTTGAATGTGGTGTGTCGAAGCTGCAGCTTCCTTTTGATGTCTGTTTTTTGAGTATGACCAAATCATCTACTTACATCATCAAGGGCTGAGTGGTGGCTTCCTAGGGAGGAAGTTTTTTTTTTTTTTTTTAAATTTATTTATTTATTTATTTGTGTATTTCTGTTGCTCTCTCTCTCTCTCTCTCTCTCTCTCTCTCTCTCTCACACACACACACACACACACATTGCAATCATCCATGCCTCTTCTTTTTTATGTGAATTGGAATTTTTATTTTTCAGGCGGGAGCGGGTGAAGCGCAAGAGAGCTCAATTAAACAAAGTAGCTGTACAGACTCCATCTGAGGCTGTTACTAATGGAAACCAGCAGCCTGATCTGAAAGAATTTTCAAGAGATCTCCCATCTGGATGGCAGGTATACTAGTCTCTACTAGAGCAACTCTTCAACTTTAATCTAGTAAATACTGGCTGATGGGTGCATGTGGTACAAATATCAATGTCCACCGCTTAGACACACATGAAACACATAATAAGTTTGAACAAAATAACTTCAACAATACAATGATAAAATAAACATAAACATAAATTAGTTACCACACCGTTGTGCCTTGCTTTAAAGGTAACCCTCCTTGTAAGGTCCTCAATATAAACCTTCCAAACAGACAAGTAAGTTGGATTAGATCTCAGGTTTCTAGCATGCCTATTGAGAGGCATTACTTGCAAACTAGCCAGCCCACCGTTGTGCCTTGCTTTACTAATCCGGTTATTGCAGTCAGAAGTGGGTCGTGAAACCCCACTGGTACCAAAATTTTCGTAAGTGTATTTTCCTTTTCTGGTTGAGTATTCAAAATTTGTTTCTGTATTTTTCAAAAAATAAAAACTGGTTTGAGAAAAATATATTTTCAAAAAAAAGAAGAAAAAACTGGGTGTTGATGCTGTTGGTGGTTAAGTTGTGGCCTCTATTTGTTTTTATTTTTATTTTTATTTTATGGAATTCCCTTGCTTGCGAGATTGAAACCCTTGTGTAAATAGGCAGGAATCATGTATATATATATATATATTTTTATATTTATATTTATCATAATGTATTTGTAGTTTCTTTTGTTCTAATCCCCATGCAATTTTGTTTCTTTTTTCCATCTTTCAGGCTTACTGGGATGAATCCTCAAAGCAGGTCTATTATGGAAATTCTATCACATCCGAAACAACCTGGACAAAACCAACAAAATGAATCATTAATAGATTTTGGCAGGGAACAACAAATCACTTAGCTTTTGCATTTTGGGAATGTAAATTTAACCCCCTCCCCTCCCTTTGAATTCTCTTTTTGTTTTGTTTTGTTTTGTTTTTTTTTAACATCCTGATTTTGCTTCACATCTTCTGTTTTGTTGTATTGTCGAATATAATTGAGATGCTCTCACAAGTCCCATTCATTACATGTACATTTTATTAGTTGTTCATGAGCGGGAAGAATCAATGGCACAGCAGATGGTGTCTGGTCACTTGTGACATTGGTTTCATACGACTCAATTTAGGTTTATGTGTTCGAGTGATAACGGCCTAGTTTGGAGTGGTCAATTTAATTTTTTGGCAGCCTTGTTTTTGGGGCTCAAGTCCACTAGTTGTATTGATAAAAATAAAAGATTCGATTGGGGCTATTTTCTCATGGTCATTTTTTTGTTTGAAGATCAGATGTGACACTGCTTAACAGAACTTGGTTATTAAGAAGGTTTGGTGGTATATTAGCAAATACTACTCTTTTGTGGTCAATGATCTGATGACATGGTAAGAGTACAGTTAAGTTTGCTACGTTGTGTTTTATGAGCCTATTGCTCTATCCTATGGTTTCGAGGTAATGTGCCAATTCCATAGGAGGCAAGGCTGTAAGTGGTTCCATGTGATGATTTTAATCAATCAAAAACAAAACCATTTGTTGGCACCTGAGGTGCCAAGGATCAAAGACGTTTTTTGGGATATGGAGGTTGAGTTTATCAGTTCTGAGTAGTAGTTAAAATTCAAGTCATTTTAAGAAACATAAGAAAAGTTAAAGTTACTAATATGCCCAAGGAACAAGTCAATAAGCTAACTTAATAAGCCAAGTACGAAAGGAGACTTAAGCATCCACAGATCTACGCTGTTGTCTTTAGGCTACAAGACCGGTGTTTGCAGTATTCAATGGTCAATATTATGAAGTACAAAAATCAAGACAGAATGTTGATCTTTCCTTGCCCCTAAATTATACACGGCTAGTCACAACTACTTCACAAAATCAAAGGAACATTACATAGAACTGCCTACCCATTTCAAAGTATTCACTAGCACAAGCACATCGTATAAATTTGGGGAATAAGACATGCAAATAGCAGCCTCAGTGTGTATTACATACTACTAATTATTGTTCTCATCAATCACAAGAGAATACAGCACAATGAAATTTTCGCGTGCAACTTGTGGAAAATTCTTCAAAAATTTTTATTAACTAATAATTTCGTTGTCTTCTCCTCCTACTGTCCTGGTACGGCCCCTCGCTTTCTTGATCCTTCAAGAAGCCTAGAAAGGCGAGAAATCCAAAAAAGAAGAATCCGCCAGTCCAGCCCCCTCCACCGCCCCCTCCACCACCACCTCCGTCACCATCATCACGGGGTGGAAATCCAGTCCCTCCATCGTCAAGTTCTGGTGACTTTTCCTTACCTGGAATTGGTTAAAACATTATGGGCTATTCAAAGGACAATCCTTCCAAATTTTATTAACATGAAATATAAATAATACAAAAGATAGAAATATAATACAACATAACACTTTCAATTTCACATTTTTTAGTTCAAAGAAATTCCAAACAGACAAGTAAAGCAAACAACACAGGTCTTTGTAGTATACTGGTGTTTCCGTTACATCACATGGGGCTAGGAGTTGGTGACCAGTTCTTCCTGCTCTTTACCCTCATTTTTTTCCTTTGATTTCAATGTGGTATAGCGGATTAGGGTTCGTTGAGTTCAACATGTCGAAAGAGAGCAAAGATCCAGACATGAGACATGCATACAATATAATATGGACAACCAGATACAACAACATTCAAAAATCAAGACACGGAACAAAAGGGAGATGGCAACAAATAAATATATCCCTGGAAAATAAAATAATATCAAATTCTTCATTTTTTATGTAACAAATCTAATTATATTTTATTATATTAAAATAGTAATAAATTACTTTCCGCATTCTATATGTTAGAAAGAAGTATGTACAAAAAATAAAAATATTTATTCGAAGAAGTTCTATTCCTAAACAAATTAGAACACAGGTTTTTGGGTTTCTATATTAAAATGCTTATTAACAAGTATAAATACAAATTATTTTGATTTAAATCATTGCTCCCAAGTTATTTAAAATATTTTCTTCTAACACGTGATGTGTTTTAAATAATGGACACTTGTGCCCCCAATTGCTTGAAGTGGTTCTAAAAAGATTAATAAAATAAGACACATTTGAATGCAACACATCTGATACAACACCTTATTAGTAGTGTCAGTGTTTCTCAAGGAAGAGCTAAAATGAAGAAATTTGAGAAAATTAAACAGCTATCGTTATGACTCCCAAAGAAACACCTTGAATCTGAGATCAAGAAATATTAAACACCACAACTAGCAAATTACAATATGGAGAGCACATGCAATTAAGTCAGTTAAAGGGAAATACCTTGAATGGGAGCAACGGTAATGGTTGATGATTGCCGTGTAACAGTTTGAGTTTGCTCTGCAGCACATGTCGCATTCTGCACAGGAAACAAATCCAGATGAAGATAAAAAAAAAAAAAAAAAAAAAAAAAAAAAAAAAAAAAAAAAAAAAAAAAAAACAGTAAATAGAAAAAATAGAACGCATGTACTCATTTCTTGAAACATGTCCCTATAATTTCATGACATTAAGGGGCCCGACCATAAAAAGCTTAGTATAAAGATATGCTGTAGACTAAACACTAAAACCATTAACTACTGCTTCTCCCAAAAAAGGCACGAGCATAAACAGAAACTCGAGCATCTTACATCATCAAATTGGGGTTTGCAGCAAACTGAATCCTAGGCCATCCCTTGCTTCATCACATGTTAAACTTATGTACAACTCAAGCAAGCTAAGAGGCTCAGACAACAATGCGCATATTCAGCATTGAAAGTTTCATAACTCAAGCTTGCCTCAGCAATACTTGGAAGAATGGACTGAAAAAAGTAATATGAAAGCCTAATGACTTCATCCAACACACATTGAGGAGAAAAGATGCATTTAGTTTCTATGATCTCTAATTTCATATTCTAGCACAACATTTATTTCATGGTTTTTAAAAGTTTGGAATGATGAGATGACGAAAACCATTACGATTTATGACCAAAAGTCAAGTTGCTGACAATGTAAAAGCAAAGAAGGTAACTATAAACTATGAGAAGATAGACTTACCAGAGCAGCAGCACATATTATAGAAGCAGACCTCATTTGAACAGCATGTATAATGTGCCTTCTATCTAAGGGCTTCAATTGCAGGCCAAGTGGCATAAGCCCTAATGGAAAAGAACAACTGAGCTTGGTCTGCCTCCTGCACTGACTCTCTGATCTCACTGTATGAAGAGGTAATGATGATTTAGTAACGTAAGTAAAATTAATGTCTATAAAGCCTCCTAAACCAAATAGAATAAGTTCCAATTAGCACAAAAACATGTAAATTGTAAAGAAAAAACCACAATACTAATTATGAGGTGTTCACGACATACAAATGAACCTAGTGTGCCTCTTTAGTTTATCAGCCCAAACCATCATATAACTCTGTGAGACTCTGCCAAATAAATCCAACTCCATTCCTAGTAATACTTTAAACAAATGTATAATCCAAAAGCTTAGGTCTTTTTCTTTTTCCTTTCTAACAAAAACAAGAAAACGGCTTTTAACTCCATTACGCGCGCGCGCACACACACAAACAGTTTTCAATGAATTTGAGCTTAAAATGCAATCACAGTGTGGGTGGAGAAGCTATGACAAAGGAAAATAAAGTCCATGTGCAATTGTAACCTTGGCTAAATGATAACCAATCCAAGTCCCTAAGACTTCCAAATCAAATTCTATTCATTACTTTTACTATTTGAAGAACTTCTCACTCAGTTATTTTCACCTTCAGTCCCCCTCATCTTCCTCCAAAATCTGATCCTAAATAAACCAAAAACTGTATAACTTTTAGATGGGATTCTTCTGTTTAGCCTCCCGGTTGATTTGCTCCAAAATTCACCTAAAGTTTAGGAGTTCAGTTTAGTGCAGAGACTGAAACAAACCACCTCCAAATTAAAACATCCATTATAATTATATCCACACACCTGACGGTATTGTTGCCGGGGTAGGGACAGTACTCGCAGTCAGTGAAGACATCCTCATGCACAATGACAGAATGACCTGAAAATGCAACATTTTATTGCCTAAAAATAATAATATTGATACATACTCGCAGCACCCACAACAAAACATAAGGCATATGTTTGTGTATATGCAAATTCGTGAGAACCACATGTTTATGCTGGGACATCAAACAATGAAACATTAAAACACTAGGCAGAGTGTCAGGATGAAAAGATTCTAAAAGCCGTTTTTCTAGCTTATTCGAGCTGAAAAAAAAAACCCAGATCGTGGTTTGGGAATTGAAAACCAATAAAACTTGTTCACCATAAATATTGAAACAACAATGCTCTAGCAGACTTCAGATCATACAACCAAAAAATTTATACATTGTAAGCATTTGTTCCAAACATTAGATTTTGGCAATCCAAATTCGTTAAAACTTGCTGATTTTCTCTATCCTTTTATTTCTTCATACAAATTAAGTGAAATTCCAAGTGTAAATAGGTATCACCGCTATCGCAACTCACATCGCCGTAACCCACCACTATTAAACAGGAGAGAGGGAGAGAGAGATTTTCCCGAAAAATTACACAGACAAACTCGTTAACACTACGATCCAATCATAGGGTGATAAAAGAAAGAAATAATTGTATTTTCTCACCATCACGTTTGGGTGATTAAGAAAACAAAATATGTGAGAGAGATATTCATGAGATTTCTTTTCTTCCTTAACGAAGGAACAATCATGGTATTATAAGGCCTGGTTTGACATATGTAAAAAAAGTCAAAAAGTTACTCAAAATAGTAAAAAGTTATCACTATTCACAAAAAAAAATATTAAAAAATTTAATTTCACACACAAAATTACAATTCAATCTTTTCAAAATCAGATCTGTGGCTGCGTTTTTTAAGAAAAATTGCACAGTTTGGATGTAATTTTAACACACTGCTGTTTGGCCCGTGGAGGCCCATCACGGGTCCCATTTTGATAATCTGAACCGTTCAATGTGTAAAACTCTTCGGGTACTATATGTATATAAAAAATCACATTGATCGGATATCGGTAACTACATTATCAAATCAATTTTGTATAAAAAAATGGTTAGTGTTATAATTAACAGTTGAAAAAAACTAATCTGATCAGATAGCTATCGATATCCGATCAACGTGATTTTTTACAAGCATATAGTACTCGACGAGTTCTACATATTAACGGTTCAAATTATCAAAACGGGACCCGTGATGGCCCCCTACAGGCCGAACAGCACCCTCCAGTGCAATGCCCGAAAAGTAACCAATCATTTTTAGCATCAATTCAGCGGCGCAAATAGTACGGCCGTACAACTCACACTCCTAATCTTCTTCTACACACTAATTTATATAATTTTTTAATACATATTTTTCCATAAAAAGTAAAAAGTTAACCCAATCAACCATCATTTTTCCTCAACTTTTTAGTTCAAAAAGTAAAAAATTCACTTATTTGACGATCAATCAACTTGTTTCTCGCCAAATTTCACCACTTTTGGTGGGCAATAAACATTCACTCAACTTACAAACCAAACATGAGAAAAGAGTTCACTTTCTCATAAGTTCTAATTATTTCTCGCCAAATCACTCCATCCAAACAAAGTGTAAAACTTGTTCAGTTTCTTTATCCTTTTATTTCTTCACACAAATTAGGTTAAATTCCTAGCGTAAATAGGTATCTCTTCTCCATCACAATATCATGAAAAAAAGAGAACGAGACATAAATTGTCCCGGAAACGATTTAGCATCAAAAAACAACAAACTCGTTAAAACAAGTTCATATTCTCTCTATCATTTTTATCTCTTCATACAATACAAATTAGGTTAAATTCCTAGAGTAAACAAGTATCTCATAAAAGGAGATAGAGAGAGAGAGAGAGAGAGATAGAGAAATTTTCCCGGAAAGTTATTGGTGGAAACGATTTTCCGTCAAAAACAGAGAATTTACATCAACATCGATGAGAATGAACAATTGGATGGTTCGGTTCGTACCTGAAAGCAGAGATTGGAGAGGAATGAGTCGAATCGGAGCTGAGATACAGACTATGTGCGTGTGTCTCTATAGTTGAGAAGACGGGGGGTTCGGGGGATTCAGATGAGAGAGAGAGAGAGAGAGGTGGGGATTGGTTTTGTGATATGTTAATTACACCAACGCCCCTAAAGTATTAGGGTTGTTGTTGGATGTGCTCCATTAGTATAATTTTTTATTTTTTATGAAAAAATATAAAATATGAATTGAATTTAAAGTGATTTGATAAAAGAGTAATGGTCCTGTTTGGTAGGGTTTTTTTTTAACTTATTTCAGTTTTTGACTTAATTTAAGCTATTTTGATGTGTTTAGTTCAGTTTAACAATACAGTTTATAGCTTTTTGTAAGTCAAAAATCAACTTATTCTTTGAGTGGAGGAGGAGAAACTTAATTTATAAGTCAAAAATTAGCTTATGTTCATAGTTATAAGGTATAAGTTGTTACGTTATGAGTTATAATCACTTTCCCACAGCTCTACCAAACGGGACCAATATAAATTAAATAAAATAATTATAACCTAAATAAGATAATGTTTAAAATAATATTTGTTATTTTAATACATGTCAAATAATAACTTACACTTTAATGATGAAAATATATTACTTTTACTTTTTTTACATCACTCGAAGCATTTTCAACCTTTACTCTTTTTTTCAATAAATTTAAATAAAAATTTCATTTGATAGAGAGTGTTGCAATAGAAAATTTTCATTTTTAATCAAACCATTGATTGAATGGAAGGACAACCTAGAGGGTATCTGGTCGGTCAATCATAAGTAGGAAATAGGGGTAGGCGCGGGTCGGTTGCGGTCACGGAACCTCCAATCCGTCATCCGTCCGCCAGATTGGCGGATTGGAGAAAATCAACCCACATCCCTCTGCTAGTCTGGCAGATGTGGATTGAGTGGATTGGCGATTTGGCGGATGGATGCGAATCGGTTTGACGGTTTAAAATTTTATAAATTTTCAACATAATTCAACTTGTGCACTTCCTCAAAAAATGTGCACTTCCAAAAAAAAAAAAAAAAAAGAAAGAAAGTATTACAGTCAATGACTTTAAAAAGTACTACAATCACTATATATCTCATCCAAAGAAAGAAAGTTTGAAACTTTAGAATATCACAATTCCTGCATGTCTCATCCACATATTACAATGACAGCATGATTCATCCACATAAAGTATTACAATCTATGGTTCTTAAAATATAAAAATAATTCAAACCACCAAAACCATGAACAGAGCAGTAGTAGAAATTGTATGTCTCTGTATTGTTACATCTGTATATATTTTTGAAAACAAAAATCAATCAGCATATATCATATTTTCTATTTATTATTTTTAGAGTTAGATTTAAAAACTAAAAAATATAGATAAATAATACGTTTATTTTTTTCAATTCAAAAAATATATTCAAGTTGAAAACTTTTTTTCAACAGAATATTTAAACTCTTTTTCAATTGAAAACACAAACAAAATATTTAAACAAATTGAAAATACAAAGTCATATAAATTACTAGGGGTGCTCGTGGTTTGGCGGTTCGGTTGCGGCCAAAGGCATCTCAAATCCGCCATCCGTCCGCCAAATTGACGGATTGGAGAAAATCAATCCGCAACCGTCCGCTCATCATCGCGCATCCGTCTAAAATGCAACGAATCGGTTCGGTTCGGTCGATTTTGGAAGATCGGTATATCCGCTGCTCACCCCTAAGGAAAAGATTGTCTAGGAAAACAACCGATTATCTAGTATATGATTCCAACAGCTATTTACAGTAATTTGATAAAAGGTTTTAACCATCTTTAATTTGATGAAAAGTTTGAGAAATTCTCAATTTAATACTGGTTTGATGTTAATGTTAGAATATGTAGGTGTTTTTATCAAATTTAAATTTGATAAAACAAAAAAGAAAGCATTGGAGACACTCTTATAACGGTTCGTTTGGGAAATGGGTTAACTTTTTGACTTTTTGATTTTTTTTGTTATTTTAACCTGGGGTTAAAAGCCTCGTTTGGAAAGAGCTTTTTGGCTTTTTTGACTTTGTGTGAGAGAAAGAATGTAATGATTATGGGTTGGATTTGATATTTTGTCTTATTAGGCTAAAAAACATATTTTGTTTTTTTTGACTAAAATAACCATATCCAACCTAACCCATCTTTCCAAACGAAACCTAACCCATTTTGTCTTTTCTTTTTTTTTTAAACCCATACATTCTATCTAAAAGATCGTCAAGATTGTTACCGAAAGTTAATCGTAGAAATCAACCCCATTATCTAGTTCATTCTTCCATTGGTTATCTTCATTTCCCACTAGTGGTGACTCACGAGAAACTTTATGCTGATAGTTGGGATACTGACTTTCATCGACAAATGTTTCTTTGCTGAAGGGATATCCTGGGATAGCTAGGTTACAGTATATCTTTTGATTTCTATCTTCACAAACTAGATGGCCATAATTTCCATTATATGCTAATAGAGGATTATTAGCAAATTTCCTCCATTTATTGAGCTGATCTCTGAGCGAAAATTTTATGCATGGCCACGGTCTCCGATTGAGAAGTCCTGGGTATTTTGGAAATGTTGAAGTTCCTCTAAGGTACATTTTATGCTTGGCGGGAATGCATCTTATTCCTTTCCATTCTGGTAGCTTGCTATCAACTAATACTTCTACAAATGGATGATGCTCCTCCATTACACAGAGTACTGAATGAGCAAGTTTATTTCCAAAATTATCTGTCTGATCTGGATCTGAGAAAATTATTCTAGAGACAAAACCGTAATCTAACAATTGTGAGGTTGTTAAATAACGCGTTTTGCCCCTAATCTCTATCTCCAATGGCTCGAATATTGCTAGATTTACCTAGCAAAGACAGATGCTGAAATCTAAATTACACTGATATCTACTGAAATATTCTGGCCTATTTATACATCTTTCTTCTTGTAAACAGGATTGTTCTTCATCCTCATAGGGATAAGTCCATTGATAAGCCATACCAGGACATT